TACTCGGGCGAGTTTTAATTTTCGGTATTTTTATTTTGAACGTATTCGGACGTAGGTCTGTTGCGATTTTGCGATGTATTTGTGGAGATACAAGAAATATAGAAATGGAGGCTTGGATAATTTGTGCTGATAATAATTATGGAAATCTTACAAAAATTAAAATTGGGCACAGTATTTTTTAAGTTGATAGATTAGGAAGTCATAAAATAAGGATTTGAAGTTTTTTGCGGTACTTTTGTCGAGATTCAAGAAACTCGGTATCACTCAAGGGTTAATTTGCACTGATAATAATTACAGAAATGCTACAAAAATTAAAATTAGTCACAATATTCTTTAATTTGATAGAGTATGAGATCAGAAAATAAAGATTTGAAGCTTTTTTACTATAATTTTTTGGCGATGCAAAAGATATAGAAATGGGGGATTAGATACAACTTAAGGGTTAATTCATACTGATAATTACAAAAATTGAAATTCATCACAGTATTTTTAATTTGATTGTATAGAAGCTAAGAAAATATAGATTTTGAGTGTTCTTCTGCAATATTTTTGTGTGAAAATAAGAAATATAGAAATGGAGGCTTGGATACCACTTAAGGGTTAATTCGTACTTGATAATAATTATAAAAATATTATAAAAATTGAAATTCATCACAGTATTTTTAATTTGATTGTATACAAGCTAAGATCATATAGATTTTGAGTGTTCTTCTGTAATATTTTTGTATCAAAATAAGAAATATAGAAACGGAGGCTTGGATACCACTTAAGGGTTAGTTCGTACTTGATAATAATTATAGAAATATTATAAAAATTGAAATTCATCACAGTATTTTTAATTTAATTGTATACAATCTAAGAAAATACAGATTTGGAGTATTCTTCTGCAATATTTTTGTGTGAAGATAAGAAATATAGAAATGAAGGCGTGGATACCACTTAAGAGTTAGTTCGTACTTGATAATAATTATAGAAATATTATAAAAGTTGAAAGTCGTCACTGTATTTTTAATTCCATAGTAAAAATAAGGATTCACAGTCTTCCTGCGATATTTTTGTGTTGATATGAAGAACATATGTGGATATTAGAGTCTCCATACTACTCAATGGTTAATTTCTCCTCAATAAAAATTTGAAAAATATCAGAAAAATTGTAATAAATCACTGCATTTCTAATTTAATAGCATGCAAGTTTAAGAAATATTTTGGAGTATTTCTGCAAAATTTTTGCGCAGATACAAGAAATATAAAAATGGAGGCTTGGTCATAGGTTAATTGTAGAAATAATACAAAAATTAAAATCTATCGGAGTATTTTTACTTTGATAGAAGATAAAAAGTATGTAGACTTGAAATGTTCTTTACTGATATTTTTGCGTATATGAATACAAGAAGTATAAAAATGGAGGCTCGGGTACCACTTAAGGGTTGATTCGTACTTAATAAAAATTATAGAAATGATGCAAAAATTCAAGTTCATCATACTTTTAATGTGTTAGCGTAAAAGATGAAAAAATAATGATTTTAGCTGTTATTTGCCACATTTTAATTCATACTTGATAATAATTACAGGAATAATACAAAAATTGAAATACTTCAATGTATTTTCAATTTGACAGTATACAAGTTTAAGAAATATAAATTTGGAGTGTTTAACGATATCTTTGCAAAGGTAAGTGAACTATCATATTATTTAGGGGTTAATTTGTACCCAATAAAAATTGTAGAAAAATTGAAAATAGCCTGATCAGAATTTTATTCTTAACTATTTTTACCATATATATAAGGTTACAAATCAAATATAGAAATAGGTACCGTTCTACCATTAATTTACATCCACAAAAATCTGAAAACACTTACAATTTTGATTTCAAAAGTGCAAAAGTTTGAAAAAATAGATATCTAAAGGATTTTAATAATATTTTTGCAAGAACATAACAAATATAGAATTAAGTACTTAGATATCATACAAAAATTAACTCGAATCATTGTTTCTAAACGCCTGTCACGAAAATTTGATAAAAATTGATAATACCGCGATAGATCACTGTGCTTTTATTTTGAAAGATCTTTACTGCAATATTTTTGCATGGCTATAAAAAAATACGGAAATGGGAACTAAGACACTATTTAGGAATCAATTCGTGCAATTATAGTTCACGTTTACACTTAATAATTTATTGTAACTTGATTTTTGAAAGTTTGGGGGGCAATAGAACAAAAATTCGAAACGTCTCGTGATATTTTTTCAATAAAACGCAAATTACAAAGATATCTAGTTCAAGAGTTTGTCCTGAATTGACAATTTGATGAAGTCTTGAAAGATCCTGATATGTCACTGCGTTTGATAAACTCGCACGTGCTCGGAAAAAAGTACTTTACGTAATCATTTTTTCAGCCATTTTTAATCTATCATTATATAATGATTATAAAATCGAAGAAGATATAATAATTTTTTTACGGGTAAACTTTGTTAGGGGTATGCAGAAGGTATTGTCATTCATATATTAATAACAAATAATAACGTGAGATATTTTAGTAAATATTTGTAACATATCCTGATTTATTATGTAAATCTTCGTGAATTTAAATAAAAAATTGTACGATACAGTTTCTCTTTTTCTACTGACATGTTTTTTTCCAATTTTAGTGGCTTTTCATTTAGTTTGCATGAAATAATACATAAAAACAAGAAACTTTTGCAACAACTATAGAATACATATCAATTAAATAATTTTATAAGAAGAATAATTATAATTATTAAGTTATTAATTCATTGATTATTGCAGCTCATCTTTTGATCACAATAATTTGTTTACAAACTAAATACATAATGAGATTTGTTTATCAATGAAAAAGGATGCAATTCGCAAAATTTATAGAAACAAGAATATTAAACAGTTTTATAATAGTAATAATTGCAATTATTATCTTGTTATCTGTTTAGTTTACAAATAAATGATTGTAATTCAACGTTGGCTTAATCTTTTCATTTAAAATTACTTGTTAATTGATTACTTTATTAATTTTTAGCAGAAGTTACTCTTTAATTGAAACAATTGGTTTGCAAAAAAATGTTTCCTGTTTATTAATGCAAAGTTATCTTTTACAAAATTTGCAGCAAATAAAAAGCTCAAACCAACAGCAACAACAATTATAATTATTTATTCATAAATTCACTGACTGATTCTTTTATAGAGTAAAATCATCTTTTAATCACAACAACTTTTTTATTAACTGACTGATAAAATATTTGTTATTCAACAAAATGGGCCATTTTTTAAAAATGTATAGTAGTATACGAATCTTTTAACAAGCTTACAATAATTACAATTACCGATTTATCAATTAATTAGTTATTTTGTTCGTTCTTGGAACTCAGCTATCTTTAAATGAACCATTTATTTACTAACTACAAAAAGTAAAAAATACGTATTGTTTATTACTAAAAAACTATCATTTACAAAGTATATAGAAAGTATGCAAGCATCTCCAACAATTTTACAATAATAATTGCCGTTATTATTAATTTGTCAATAAATTTGTTGCTTCATTTGTTTTTATAGTACAGCTACTTTTTAATCACAATAATTTATTTTTTAATGAAGTCAATGAGAAAATATTTATTATTTACAAACTGAAGAGACTATATTTCGTCAAATTTACTGAAAATATAGTAAAATTTTAAACGAACTTGCAATAATCATTAGAATTATTGACATGTTAATTCACGGACTATTGTCATCATTTTTTAACCTCAGGTATATATTAATTATAGTAATCAGTATTCCAATTAAAACTTTACAAAACACTTTATCATTTGTAAATTAAGAAAACAAACTTTATAAAAATTATACTAAAATCTAACCATTTGCATACTGTATACAAATTGTATTATACAAGAATCAATTTAATAAAAATGATCATCATTGTCAATTCATCAACACAGCAATACTACTCTATGTGTCCATAGAGCACATCTATCTCCAAATAAAAATTTTCCCTATAATAAAAGCCAAAAAAAAACCATTCAATAGATTAAGAAAAAAGAATTATATATATTTGGACTCAATAATATCAATCAATTAACATAACCAAACAGCCATCATTACTAAAGATTACTCGTAAAGTGTCATAATCCTTTGCATACCCCAAACATAAATCGGTAACGACAGCACCGAAAAACCTCAAAGAAAACTCCGATAACATTCGCACCGATCTTGTCAAAATATAAAATGAAAAAAAAAAAAACGAGCAAAGTCCGTCACTCGTTCCAGCTCTCCGGCGAATCTGTTACCTCGCGTTGACTGAAATCAGGTGTTCCTTCAAAGAAGACACTCGATCGTTTCGTCGTACCGATGCGTACCGCCTAACCGCGTACGTTGCCGGTTCTCCGTCACGTCTTCCGTCAACATGTATCACCGTCGATTCATACACAGTCTTCCAGACACGGCGTTAACCAAAAGACAACACAACACGACACTGGAATCGTTTCCGGAGAATCGGCAGCTTCCTCCGCAGGTTAGGACGTTCCCTGACGCGGGAACTCGCGTCTCTCCCCGAGAGGTGTCGACCGAGCGAAAAAAACAGCGCCGGTGGTTCGGTCGTTGGCGGGAAAACTAAACACAGCCGGTAGACCGCGTGGTTGTTGGCTTGTGTTAGGGGAAGAAAGAGAGAGAGAGAGAGTGAGAGAGAGAACGCGCGGGAGAGAGAATAAGAGAGCGTGGCGCCCCTAAACGATCAGCTGATTCCTCACTTGTTCACACACCGTCTTAAAGCACAAACAAACAAAACACGTTCGGACGCGTTACACCGAGCACCACTTTTTTTCCCGTTTTCGAAACAGGTTACGTTCGAATCTCCCGCGCGAATTATTTATCTCGAATCACCATGGTAACCACTGGGCTCGTACGACGGGTATTGGACAAGAGGATACGTGAACGTGAAATATTCGATCATCCCGGTTGAGGAGATCGGTTAAAATATACGATGAAAACTAACCGTATCGTGTGAGTTGCGTGTGCGGCACAGCGGCGTCGGCGACGGCCGGTGAGTGAATGCGCCGTGACGTTAGGCGCCCCTCCTAAGATCCCCGCCCCTCTCGCTCCTTAAAACCCCTCCCCCCCACA